TTTATTTCTGTTTATTTTTAAATTGTAAAAATAAATAATTGGACTGTTTTACTTAGCTCGTCACTATTGCTCAGTTTCTTAGTTATTTTTGTTACTTGCTGAGGTGGTTGTACTCATGCTACACCCTGCACTTTATGTGCAGATTCAGGTGAGTTAGAGCGCGACGATCGTTGAGTTCAGGCCGGCTATCTGTGGAGATTGCAAGATAGCTGCTAGCGTCCGCAAGACCTTTTTACTCCTTTTATCATTTCTTCTTTTGGATTGTATTGATAGTTAGACAGTTTCATTTCTTAGTTCATAGATTTAGACGCTCATGACTTAGTGACACCCCGATGTTTGGGACTCGTTTCCGTATTTCTAAAATTATAATTTGAGTTGATTTAGTTTATGAGAAATTCAAATGTTGAAACATTTTATTAAATTCTTATAATTGGTTTATTAGAAATATTTTGGGAAGTAGGCTTGCCTTGTAACACGATAGGCGCCATCACGACGATGATCAGATTTTGGGTCGTGACACATGGGTTGCCGTACGGGTTTCTCCTCACTAAGGTTTTTGAATTCTTTAAAGTCCCTTTGGGAAAAGCTAAAGTGGGTACTTGTAAGCAAACCTTCTCCAAAACCACGCTCGAGGAATGTGAGTGCATTGATAAGGTTGGAAGGGTTGGCAGCACTTCTACTATCTCCCAGTTGATCAACGCCCAAAACAGTGACACTGATGAGATAAGGAAGCTGAAGGCAAGGAATGCCATTCTTGAGGGTCAGCTAAGTCAGCTTTAGTAGGCACCTGGTTCCAGCAGCTCTCACAGCACATAGGTTGCCCGTTTGACCAAAAAAAAAATACCGACCTCAGGAAACAGGTTGAGGACCTGAAGGAGAAACTGCTCAATGAGCAGATGTCAGCTAATGCTCGAATGGACATCCTTCTTAACACCCTTGCCTCTTCATCTAAGCCTTTCCCTTCCAGTACTAATTAGAGTCATTCCCTTCCCAGTGTCAAGTTTCAGTTCAAGTTGTTTTTGTTTCCTGTGTTTGGATATGTTTGATGACTGGTACCTTTTTTGTTGTTTTTATTTTGTGGTGATTGTTTATCAATGGAACTGCTCCCTGTTTATTTCCAAAATTAATGAATTTCTCGTCCTTTTGTTGTGTACATCTTGTTCTTCTGCTCTGTTTTTAGTCATGATTATGTGCACACATGTGGCATGAGTTAACCAAGCTAGACTTCTTCTTGCTTATTGCTTGCTACTGATCTTTTTATGATGCCAAAAGGGGGAAAAATAATTGATGGGGAACAAGCTGGGGAACAGATTCAGGGGGAATACAGGTTATATCATTCTAGTTCTTAGGGGGAGCTTCAATTATAAGTTTGTCATTATTAAAAAGGCGGAAATTGATAGGTTATTTGTACCTTATAATATTTTGATGATCTAACAAACTTAATGACAAGAACTAGATAAGGAACCTGATACACAGCCTCAAGTACGTGGGTATAACAAGTCTCAAGCTGGAGATGTAAATCAACTCTTCAGACGACAAAGAAACAACAAGGGGAACAGATGGACATCGGTTCCCCTGGTGACCGTAGCTAGTCAACTCCCTACAACTATAAAGTTGCTGCATGCACGCGCAACAGTGCAAAAACAGTGCAGCAGTCAACTTTAAAGTTGCTTGCATTATTCAAGTGATGTCACAAATGAGTTATTAACATCAAGCAAAGGTAAAACAAAATGCTTGCACATTCAAGAATCGATCAAGCACTCTCTCAAGTCTGTGTCAATCTTGCAAGTAATTTTCAAGGGCATCAAGAACAAAGAACAACATAACGAAGGACTAGTTTCATGTATTGAGTCATTACATGTCCTTAGTTGTGTTGCACCTTTATTAAAGTTCTTTACTTGTAAATCCTACTTAGCTTAGTTAGAAGCATTGTGTAGGAAACCTTTGTAAATCATAAATCCTTATGTTTGTGTCTTGGCTAGAGTTAGTCGAGTTGTAAGTCTTTGTAATAGAGTTATTACAAAATGGCTTGTAATAGAGTTGTTACAAGTTAGTGAGGGATTAAAAGGTTAATTCGTAGGTTACAATAGGTTGCAATCTAAAATTTGCTCAGTAGTGAAGTTGAAATGCTACAATGGTAGGTCGTGATTTTTAATCCCGTGAGTTGGGAGTTTTCCACGTAGAACTTCTTTGTGTCATTTACTTACTACAGTGTGCGTGTATTCTATGGGAACTAATAGAGAACCTGATTCTCTATATAGTTTGGTGGACCCTCAGTTTCTATCATATGATTATCATGATGATGTGCTATGATAAGTTTATAGAAGGCTAAATACATATGCAGTCCCCTAAACTTGTCCTGATTTTTCACATAAACACTTTAACTTGAGTTAGTTCCTATTGAGCACTTAAACTCAACAAAATGTGTTTTAATTAGACACATTTTATTGAGATAGTCAAAAAATAGAACGTGTGCATTTCACTCGCCGCTGATTTGGAAAGAAAACCAATGAGACAATATCATGTGAATTTGATCCCAAATACCAATAAGGTAGAAAAAAAGCTCTTGAGGAAAAAGAAAAGCTTTGTTCGTTGCTATGGCATCCTCTCCTCTCTCTTCTCTATCCCTCTTTCTCTCCCCAATATGAGTCAAAGATTCGAAATGCCGACGACGTAAACTGCTAAGAAAATTGGAGAATTATCAACCTCACCTATAACACCAGCATTATTTACCAAAGCATCAATCCGTCTAAAGGCGCCCTAATCTTTCTGTGCGGCGATTTTAATGACTGGACCATTGGCATTAATGCCAAGCTCATAGTTATGACTCGTTGTTCCTAACTGGAACTTTCCTCATTCGAGTTTAAGTTGACTCCATAGAGAGATATCAATCGATCAATACGACGAAGGATGATTCTAAAACCAGCTTTAGATTAATCGAGGAAGAATTCTCGGTCGATTCCCGATGATACTCCGGTGACCATCACCACTTTTCCAGTGAGTTCCCTCCATAGCTCCAGCTGGCGCTCCACTTTGGCAAAGTTTTTCAGTATTCTTTTTGGTTTGTTCTAATGGAAATAGTGGTTAGTGAGTAAATACTTGGACATGACGGTAGTGAAGGGTATAGTCTATGGTTGTTTTAAAGGAGTAAATAATAAGATTATTTATGCTATAATCTTGATACAATCACCGACCCAGGTAAAAACTCCATAAACAGTCATATACGTGTGGAGATTGGAGAAACAAATTTGAGGATTTTGGGAGTATTCTGGTGGAGAAGTGAGAACCGGGTTTGGAAGGCCAGCCATGGAACTTGCCGCTGGTCAAGAAATTTTCCGGCAAGCTGGAAACAACTTTAAACAAAACTAGTGGAAAAAATAATAATGGAAGAAGAGAAAGAGAAAAAAAATTAATTAACCATTTTTTAGATATGTACGCGCTCAAAGAGAGTGTAGAACACATATTTTGCCATGTCAGCAAAATGTGCCTAATTGGTATACTTTTTGAGGAGTTTAGGTGTTCAATAGGTACTAGCTTGAGTTTAAGTGTTTAAATGAAAAAAAGTGACAAGTTTAGGGGTCTGCGTATGTATTTGGCCTTTACATAATAAAAATCATTAAAAGTTATTAATTATTTACTAGTGGCAAGCACCCTCCACTTTCAACCAAGAGGTTGTGAGTTCGAGTCACCCCAAGAGTAAGGTGTGGAGTTCTTGGAGGGATGGAGTCGATGGTCTATCGGAAACAGCCTTTCTATCCCAAGGTAGGGGTAAGGTCTGCGTACACAGGGGTAAGGTCTGCGTACACACTACCCTCCCCAGACCTCACTAATGGGATTATACTGAGTGGTTGTTGTTGTTGTTACTAGAATATCATACTAGTATCTTATTGCACATATAGGGATACCTATTTCGTTTGGCATCGTTTACTGCACGTAGAAGTTAAAAAGAAAAAAGTTATATTTTAATGTCCTCTTAAGTTAGAAAACATAAAATAGGCATGAGAGGGAAAGAGAGAGAATCAAATAAATTATTAACTGGCTTTATATCAAATAAATTATTAACTGGCTTTATAAGCAAACTTTTAATTAATTTATTATTTGACAAAGTTGAAAAAGATGTTGCTTCATATGAAACAAACTTACAAGAAAATGAATTAGGCATGACATGTAAACACCTAAATTTTTGGTGTATGGAACGTGCAATTCGTTATTTATAGACTTTTTTCGTTCAATTCGTAGACTTATTCAGAAGAAGAGAAAAAAATACAGAAAGACAGAAATAGAGAAACAGATAGAGAGTCAAATAATTAAATTATTAACTGGCCATATAAGCGAACTTAGACTACTAATTAATTTAATATAGGATAAAGTTGAATTAGTTTTGTACGTACCAGAAAAAGACGTCGTTCACATAAAACAAAGCTTACAAGAAAATTATAGATTTAGAGGACGTTGACATGTCAAACTTTCCATCAATTCAAGCATGAAATGAACCAAAAAACACAATATATATTCACAAGAAACCACTTCATCCACATTTTATTAGAGTATATTCTTTATGTTCATTTATTTCAATCAAAACACCACCAATCTTCCCTCTTTTTAATTTTTATCGAATATCTCACGTAAACCGTTGACTTCCAAATCCTTTAATTAATTGGACCATTTCCTTTTATTCTTATGCCAAATGGCTAACCAAACCGTATCCACTCCAAATAATTCTCTTAAAATTAAACCATCTCTTTTCACAAGATCATGAATAACACCACCATCTCCGATCCAAGTTCCGACAACGGTGGCTTCCTCGGATCGGAAAAAATCGGAGGATTCGGTTATACAATTGGTGTTTCAGCTGGTATTGTCCTGTTAATTGCAACTCTAACGTTCACTTCATACTTTTGTACTAGAAATCAAACAACAACAAGAAGACCACTACGAACGGCTAATCGAGACGAACATATGATGGAAATGGGAATTGATGAAAAAACGCTTTTGAGTTATCCAAAGTTGTTGTATTCTGAAGCTAAGGTCAATTACAAGGACTCAACAGCTAATTGTTGTTCAATATGTTTAGCAGATTACAAGAGTAAGGACATGCTTCGGTTGTTGCCAGATTGTGGACATTTGTTTCACTTGAAATGTGTCGACCCATGGCTGCTGTTGAATTCAACTTGTCCAGTTTGTAGAAATTCTCCATTGCCAACACCTCTGTCCACTCCTTTGGCTGAGGTTGTTCCTTTAGCAAGTCGAGGGGTACATTAATTATGTAAGAGTTTTCAAAAAGAGTTTATAATATTGTAGACTACTCCACTTATTGCCTTAAAGTTTGAGATTGGATGGTCAGATTTCTTTTTTACAACGGCATCAAATTCTTGATGTTTTTTCCTATTTTGTTGGGATTGATGACAGAGGCTGAGCTTACCTGTGTGTCCAAGTTAGTTATAATCAATTATAATACTCATCGATTCCAAATCCAATAACATGATTTGAAAAAGACAGGGAGAAGTAGGTTTAATGAATTTATTATTTCTTGTGTTTCAATTCAAATCTATGTAATTGAAAATGGAATTTTAAAAAATAATAATAATAAAGGAAAAGTTTTAAAATTTGTGGTGTAAAATACTCTCTCAGTTTCATTTTGTTTGTCGTAGTTTGACTTACCACAAAGTTTAAGAAGAAATAAAGATTTTAAAAATTTATGGTCTTAAATATTTCATAACATTTGTGTGGCTATAATACTTTTGAAACTTATTGTATTAAACATGTCATAACATTTGTATGACTATAAATGTTTCTCAGGAAATATCGAAATGTGATATTTTAAAACGACTAATAAGAAAATAGTACCAAACAAAGTGGAAAGGAGAGAGTATGAGATAACATTTGTATGACTATAAAACTTTTAAAACTTGTGATTTTAAACATGTCATAATATTTGTGTAATTGTATGGTTAAAAAAACTGCTAATCAAAAGTTAAAATGAGAAATTTAAATTAAATGATTTTCTTATAACGGACTAAAAGGAAATAATACACACAAACGGAAACTGAGGGCGTATGTTTCAACATATCAATGCGCTTTTCAGCTTCACGTACAAATACAGTTGCACCTAACTACCTAAAAAACCTGTAATTTATAATTTGACCGTTCTATTTTCCCTTCTTTTTTTTGCCTTCTGTATTTCTTCTTTTCAAATTCCTCTTCTATTTTATCTTTGTTTTCAAATTCGATGTATGAACATGGAAATCAGAAATAGGAGATATATAGGCAAATAAAGGGGAGGTATTTGAGGGAGAAATTCTTAATCATTTTGAGAAATTACATGAGTGATAGAATATGAACCATTAGAATTAATTCATGAATTACACTGTGCCAAAAATAGAACAGCGCACTGAAGGACTAGGGGAAAACGGTAATAATATTGTAACGAGATAAAAATAGAGTTAAGCAATAGTCTATATAGTGCATAGGTAAATTCGAACATATTTTCAAAGGGAAAAGTCAGAAAAAGTCTTTGGTAAACGACTACACTAGTGGAAGAGATTCTTGTTCACATCAGTACCGTTAACTTATTATAATGGTACATTAGCTTTTTACCATTTTTATCAAAGTCCAAGTTGCCCAAAGTCAATGATGTATATATTCAGTTTGTAAGAATTTTATGCTCAATATGTGTGCCAATGAGAACACTTTGTTTAGAATTTACGAAGGGCTGAATATTGTGTATGTAACGCCAGCAAAGTCCTTTCATGTTTCAACAATAGGTGGCTACTCTTATTTTCATATTGCAAATTGCATTAGATATCTTTAGGTACAAGTTGCACTAGATATATGTCTCCCCTTTTTTTTTTTTTTCTAATGTGAAACAATGATATACTAAGTTTAGTATTTTGTATGTCTATGAAAAAATCCCAAATTTAAATATCATTTGTTGGCCGATCGGATCAGGGGCGGAGCTAGAAGCCAGAGTATGGGTTCGCCGAACCCAGTAACTTTTGTCCAAACTCTATATGTATTAAGAAATTCACTTAAAATATGTACAAAAAATAAAATTCAAAACCCAATTACTAACACCTTATGTCACTATCCTAAAATTTTGAATTCATAAAGTTCAAATCCTGACTCCGCCTCTGAATCGGATCCAAATTGTGACCCGACCCAAAATTGGAGAAATTTCTGAAAATTTATGTTGTGCTAAGTTTGTGTTAAAGTTGGCACTAATAGCACAAGGATAAGTGGATAACACAAGGAATTTTGATCAGTTCCATGCTAAGTTCGCGCGTCGCGTGTGATGGCTCAACTAAAATTTAGAATCCTATGTTGTTTTTAGTTAATTTTGAAGCCATTGACCAAGTAGGTTTGGGAAACACTTGGGATAGATAAAGGGGGTTAAAATTGGGAAACTATTGTACTATTCTTCTCTAAATTTGCTTCTATCCGCGGACATATACGTTTGTCCCGTTAAATTTTTGTGTTATTTTTTATTTATTTGTTATATATCACGATATTCCGTAATAAAAAAATATTAATATAAAATATACAAAAAATAGGCATCATATGACCATCTAAATCTTTAGTGCATGGAACGTGCAATTAGTAGACTCATTAAGAAGAAAGAGAGAGAGTCAAATAATTTATTAACTAGCTATATAAGCAAAGCTATTAATTTATTACTATTGGAGAAAGTTGAAGAATTTGGTAGCAGAAAATGACAGTTGCTCACATGAAACAAAGCGTACAAGAAAATCATAGGTTGAATGACTTTAACATCTCAAACTTTCCATTCAAGCATATGAACGGAACCAAAAAAAGCACTATATATATATATCCATAAATATTCACAAGAAACAACTTCATCCACACTTTCTTTTTTTTCTCTTTTTTATTAAGTAAGTAAGTATTCTTTTTTTGTTCATTTCTCTCGAGTCCAAATTCATTTCTTTCAATCAAAACACCCTCCAAATCTACTCCTTTTTTCTTCTTCTTTCGAATCTCTTACGTAAAACCGTTGACTTCCAGATTATATTTGGACCATTTATTTTTCATCTTTTATAATACCAATGTCTAAAAAAACCAAAACCACTCCCATAATTCTCTTAAAACATCATGAATAACACCACCTTTTCCGATCCAAATTCCGACACCGGAGGTTTCCTCGGATCGGGAAAAATCGGAGGATTCGGCTACGGAATTGGTGTTTCAGTAGGTATTCTTATTTTAATTACAACAATAACCCTCACTTCCTATTTTTGTACTCGAAATCAAACATCAGAGTTACCAACAAGAAGACAAAGAACAATTAATCGAAACGAGCTTTCTGAACATTGTGTGGTTGATATTGGGCTCGATGAAAAAACCCTTTTGAGTTATCCCAAGTTGTTGTACTCTGAAGCTAAGGTCAATCATAAGGACTCAACAGCTAGTTGTTGTTCCATATGTTTAGCAGATTACAAGAAAAAAGACATGCTTCGATTGTTGCCAGATTGTGGACATTTGTTTCACTTGAAATGTGTGGATCCTTGGCTCATGTTGAATCCAAGTTGTCCAGTTTGTAGAACATCTCCATTGCCAACACCACAATCTACTCCTTTGGCTGAGGTTGTTCCTTTGGCAACTAGACCTTTGGGATGAATGGCATTAGTTAGTTTCTTGCTGCTAGGGACCGTTTCCTGCGAATCCAGATTAATCGAGCTTTAAAGCGGATACCAAACAATGACATTATTTTCTTGATCTTACTGCTTTTTTTAATTGTTCTCTGTAAACTGTAATTAATTGTTCTTCTACTTTGTTTTTTCTATTGACCCATTTTCTCAAATTTTCATACAGTTGCAGCATATTAGTCCTTGAAAAGGAAACATTGATCAGTCAATTTTCTTGAATTTTTGTATCATGCAATTGTTACTTTTTATCGTTTTCTTCCTAATTTTTCTTCTTAAGCATAAGTGGATTCAAAAACAATTAGGGCCATTTGATTAGTCGCGTAAATGAAAATAATTTCATATAAAATTCTGAGTAAGTAAAGTATAATAATTTGGCTGCTTGTATAAGAAAAATAATCTTTGTGAAGTATAACTTATGCTATGTTTGATTGGTGATAGTATTTTATCTATGCAAGATAAAATATCATACAAGAAAATGTGCATGTATTAATAAAACATGATTAAGAGTAAATCAAAGCTATTGAAGTAGGCAATTTCTAAGTATAATAGTATTTCCCCCTTTGTTTTGCTTTTAAGTCAATGTAAAGAGTTGTCACGACCCGAAATTTTCTACCGACGGGACCGTGATGGCACCTAACATTTCACTTGCTAGGCAAGCCAACGTTAGAGAATCATTAACCAATTCCTTATTTCCATTCAGTAATTAACAATAGTTAACTAAGATGGAATATAATAAGTGCGGAATATCATAAAACTGTATTAATTACTACCACCCGGATCTGGAGTCATCATTCACGAGCATTCTAGGATTTACGACAAGTAATAGTCTGAAAGAAATACAATTGTCTGAATGAAAGAAAACAGTAGGTCATAAAAGATAGACGGGGACTTCAAGGTCTGTGAACGCCAACAGATCTACCTTGAATCTCCGGACAGCGGACCAGTAGCAAATCTCGATCAACCTGAGCCGGTGTCAAAATCTGCACAGAAAGTGCAGAGTGCAGCATCAGTACAACCGACCCCATGTACTGGTAAGTGTCGAGCCTAACCTCGACGAAGTAGTGACGAGGCTAGGACCAGACACCCACATATAACCTGAACAGTATAATCATGCTAGTGGCAACGACAGTAAATAAAGCAATAACGCAGAAATAATGGGAAGGGAATATGCCGTGGGGGAGTACAACATAAAGAGTGAGAATAATGAAAGACAGAATTAAACAGAAAATCCTTAAACGAATCGAGCAAATTAAACAGCAAGGAAAACTTCACGGCATCACCCTTCGTGCTTAACACTCTTCCTCACAATATAATTAAATTATGCATGGCATCACCCTTCGTACTTTACACTCTTCCTCACAATATAATTAAATTATGCATGGCATCACCCTTCGTACTTTACACTCTTCCTCACAATATAATTAAATTATGCACGGCATCACCCTTCGTTCTTTACACTCTTCCTCACAATTCACAGAATCAACAACAACGGACAGAGAGAAATTTCACAAGAAATCAATATTTCATCAATGATTACTTTCAAAATTTAACATCTCGACCTCGAATCAATATTCACAATTTTATCGACCTTGGTGGAACCGGATACAAGTCTCCCAACATTTCAACAACAACATTAAGCATAGATAACAAGATTTAAGACTACAAATTTGCAAGAAATGGAATTTCACTCGCATGCTATGACTCGACCACAACGTATAGATGCTCGTCGCCTCAACTATATGTCGTATTCAACAACAAAACACGTAGCAAATACTCGCACAATACCTATTCCCTCAAGCCAAAGTTAGATACAACACTTACCTCAATTTCGCAAGCCACTCACTGCTCAAGTATCGCTTTCCCTTTAGAATTCACCTCCAACCCACTCTTATCTAATCATAATCAGTTTAATATCATCAATTATCGCTAAAGGAATCAACTTTAATGCAAAATTACAGTTTTCCTACATTTTTCCAACAAAAGTCAAAAATCGACCCCGGGCTCGCTCGGGTCAATATTCAAAGAAGCTCGCAATTGCGAAGGGGCTATCGCAATTGCGAAGCTCGCAACAAGGTTACTGTTGGAGATGACGGAGTTTTGAGGATGCAGGGTCATATTTGTGTGCCTAATGTGGATGGACTTCGTGAGTTGATCCTTGAGGAGTCCCACAGTTCCCGGTATTCTATTGCATTCGGCCACCCATAGTGACTGACTTCCTATATGCAAGGCTACCCATACTGACTGACTTCCTACTCAAAGCGTCGGCCACCACGTTGGCCTTCCCGAGATGATACAATATGGTGATATCATAGTCTTTCAATAGCTCCAGCCACCTCCTTTGCCTCAAATTGAGTTCCTTCTGCTTGAACAAATACTGCAAGCTCCGATGATCAATGAATACCTCACATGGCACGCCGTAAAGATAGTGCCTCCAAATCTTCAGCGCGTGAACAATGGCTACCAGCTCTAGATCATGAACAGGTTAATTCTTCTCGTGAACCTTCAGTTGCCGTGAAGCATATGCAATAGCCTTGCCACCCTGCATCAATACTGTNGAGGGCAAAATCTAGCAATGTGCCTCGGATCACCACAAGTATAACATAACTTCGGCTGCTGTGATTGCTATCCCTGGAACTGACCCTATCGACCTGAATAACCACCCTGATAACTCTGGAGTGGAGGTGCACTAATAGGAGCTGGTGGTGTACTGCAGGCTAGCTGGTCGGAATAATGCGTCTGAGGGCCACGACCACCTGAGGCACCGTGGGATGCATGGAGCGCTTAATGAAATGACCTGGGAGGATAGACTCTACCAAAAGTACTCTTGCCTCTAGATGAGGCACCGCTGAACTCATCGGAATGACGAGGTCTCTTGTCAGACCCCTGACCTCCCAGAGTAAGAACCATTTCGACCCGTCTGGCGACATTAGCAGTCGCCTGAAAAAAAATCTCACTCCCAGTCTCCTTAGATATCTCCAATATGATAGGCTGAGCAAGTCCATCAATAAACCTCCTCACACACTCTCTCTCGGTGGGAAGCAGAAGAATGGCATGATGGGCCAAATCCACAAAACGGGTTTCATACTGAGTAACAGTCATACAGCCCTGCTGGAGACACTCCAACTGACGGCGATGCTCCTCTCTCAATGTGATAGGCAGAAACTTCTCTATGAAGAGCTGAGAGAACTGGTCCCAAGTAAGAGCAGGCGACCCAGCTGGTCTGGTCAACAAGTAATCTCTCCACCATTTCTTGGCGGAACCAGTTATCTGAAATGCAGCAAAATCGACCCCATTGGTCTCCACTATACCCATGTTTCGTAGAACCTCGTGACAACTGTCAAGATACTCCTGGGGATCCTCTGAAGGATTACCACTGAAGTGAATAGGAAAGAGCTTGATAAACCTGTCCAATCTCCATAAAGCCTCGGAAGACATAGCTGGCCCATCTCCGACCTATGCCGTAATAACCGGCTGAACTAATCCGACTGGCTGAGCTGCTGGAGCCTGACACTAGGGAGCTATCTACTCCGGAGCGGGAGTGGTAGGAGTCTGGGCTCCTCCTCCAGCCTGAGAGACTGCTGGTGCCATGGGAAATGCGCCAGTCTGGGCCACACTCTCCATAAGGCCCACCAAACGGACCAAAGCATCCTGAAGTACTGGGGTAGCAATGAACCCCTTCGAAACCTGAGCTGGTCCGGCAGGAGCAGTTTGGGCTGGAACCTCCTCGTCAAGCTCTATCTGAGGCTCCACTGCTGGGGTTGCTACTTGGGCCCTAGGCTGAGCCCTGCCCCTGCCTCGGCCTCTAGCACGGCCTTGGCCTCGACCTCTGCCCCGCGTAGGAGCTGTCACTGGAGGCTCTGGCTGCTGCTCAGCTGAGGAAGAGGTACGTGTTCTCTCCATCTACGATAGAATAAGAGTATAAGAGTTCAATCAGTATTGAGAAAGCAAAATCGCACGATAGAGAAGGATATAAGTGAAACTTGTTCCTAAACTTCATAGCCTCTGGAAGATAAGCACAGACGTCTCCGTACCGATCCTCCAGACTCTACTAAGCTTGCTCGTGAATCCTGAGACCTAAGCAACCTAGGGCTTTGATACAAACTATCACGACCCAAAATTTCCCACCGATGGGACCGTGATGGCGCCTAACATCTCACTTGCTAGGCAAGATAACGTTAGAGAATCATTAACCAATTCCTTATTTCCATTCAGTAATTAACAATAATTAATTAAGATGAAATATAATAAGTGCGGAATATCATAAAACTGTATTAATTACTACCACCCGGATCTGGAGTCACCATTCACGAGCATTCTAGGATTTACGACAAGTAATAGTCTGAAAGAAATACAACTGTCTGAATGAAAGAAAACAGTAGTTCATAAAAGATAGACGGGGACTTCAAGGTCTGTGAACGCCGACAGATCTACCTTGAGTCTCCGGATAGCGGACCGGTAGCAAATCTGGATCAACCTGAGCCGGTATCAAAATCTGCACAGAAAGTGCAGAGTGCAACATCAGTACAACCG